AAATCGGTAGGTACATTTTCGTTTCCGATTGCTGAAAGCAGAAGTCGATTTGAAAAAAAAATGAGACTTGCATTAAAAGCTTAAATAGTCCCAAAAGTTCAACGAAATCGGTAGGTACATTTTCGTTTCCGATCGCTGAAACAGAAACCGATTGAATAAAAATTTATTTCATGTTGAATATCTTACAATAGTTTGATCGTAGAATTAAATAAAAATTCATCATTAGGAGTGAAAAATCGGCACATAAAGGATGTTTCAAAGAACCATTTGTCGCCTTCGTTACCGGTGAAAATGTAGTCTTTAAGCAAGTAGAATTTCATTTTAATGTGGATTCTACTAACGTACTCCTATTGAGCGATTTCAGTTTCCTGATGTTTTCTGTTTAACCTGACAAACCGTAAAGATCCTACCATCATCGGCTAGTGAAACTGCTTTTGAATTTTTATATTTATTTTTCATCCAAGTGTAGAGAATATTCACTCGGTAACCAGTTCGAACTATGCTTCTTCATTCTTCTAACGAGAATTCGTCAAAAATCGAGTTTCAGATTGCTTCCAATTTGAAGAACCATCATGTTAATCATTTTAAACGAAACACGAGTCTTTATCTTTCAGTGATAATATATTCGAAAGTTCGCAAAAATATTCTCGCTCCCAAAATTTATAAAACTGAAGAAAAACCTTGTTTACCAAATTACGCACTAAAAATAAAATCACGCAAATTTGTATTTGTAAACGTAAAATGTGCTTATTTCCATATTTAGCTAATTTGGCTAGGGCTACAATAGTTTCTGATCGGTATTGCGTAATCAAATGCAAGCAAATCTAGCCAATCAAATTAAACCTCAACCAACCGAAAAGTGAGGCACGCGTCAGTCGTGTCACGTTAGTTTATCAGAGGCGAACACCTATTTTCGTGGATAATCGTTTTTGTAGCCATCATTTAGGGCGATCAATCAGAAAACTTTGCTAAATAAAATCATATTTCAAAACCAATACTGTATATTTGCCACCTAATGGAAAAAAGGTATTAATAAATGCTAATTAATAAATCGATAATTCGAAATATATTTAAGTACTGATTAAACAACAATGCCTTATTGTTTTATATTAGGAAATGAAATTAATTTAACATTTATTTATAAAATCTAAAACTTTATTCGTTACAAGCAGTGGACACGGCCCTTTTAAGCTCACCATTATACCCACTAATCGTCCACTTTGGTGCCCCAACAGGCTTTTTGTCATCGGCTATATGGTCCCCATATACTCGAATGCGTTTGCCCCTTTTTACATCTTTGTCCAGATAACCTCGTAAAAACTTGCGAAGCTTATTTACGGTATATAAAGGAATTAGTACAGCTTGATTTATAAATCAAATCCTTTAACATATTCATTTACAGTATCCGAACGCCAGGGCAGGTCTTTCACAATAATATTGTTATTTTCATCCGACTCTTCCGGGCTGTGATAGCAATTTTGTTTGGTAATAGGTTCCAATTCTGTTTTATTGAATTGGCCTATTAAATGATCATTATTGTTTTTTAGATTGTTGATCATTTTCGTTCTTCTTAGCCTTTTCTGTATCAATAAAATAAATAAATAAATATGGCATTAAAAGATATTTCAGTGTCAACATACTAATTACCTCTGACTGGCGCGTATTTTTGTGTTTTCTTTTTGATTCCTTTTTTTTCCCTCTAGTTCTTTATTGTTGATTCGGTATGTATCCCGCTGGCTACGATGTCTTCTATATATAATTTGATAAAGAACATTTTCATTCACCGGGTAAACAGTTAAGTCTATGAGCTGTTTAATCGTAGGGATTATTGTCCCAGTCACGAGTTCTTGTTGAGATTCGAAAGTTTTGCTTGGATTCAATCGGCCTTCTTTGGGCATTCTGCTAATATTCCAGAAAACATCTCGCTAAAATAATTTATGCAGTTAATAAAATTAAATAAACTAACATATAAAGAAAATAAATAACGATAATTTAGAATTTTATTTACACGTAAAGCCTCTTTCAAATCTTTGTCCATTTCGTCCAAATTTTTATACCGCTTGAATCCAACGGATTTGGTATTAATCAACGGGCCATCAGAATGTCGACTTAAATATTTATTACCCATACTTTCTTCTGCGTTGTCACTTTCAGAATACATTCGACGATCTTTTGACTTTTTCCAGTTTATGGGCTTTGCTGCACTCTCGTCATCGGAAGTTTGCTGATATTTTCTTACATTCTTTCTTTTGGCGATATTATCCTTTTTTTCATTCTCGGAAATTCGCCGATTTTTTCTTAGATCCTTCCTTTTGACGTTATTATCCTCATCTTCGCCATCAGAAATTCGCCGATTTTTTCTCAGGTCCTTTCTTTTGACGTTATTTTCTTCTTCATCGATTTCGGAAATTCGCCGATTTTTTCTTTTGACGTTTTTCTTCTTCATCGATTTCGGAAATTCGCTGATTTTTTCTTTTGACGTTATTTTCTTCTTCATCGATTTCGGAAATTCGCCGATTTTTCCTTAGGTCCTTTCTTTCGACGTTATTTTCCAGACCTATAATGTAAACCGATACATCCCGAGTTGTAAAAATTCCTTGGATATGCATCACAAATTCATTACCTTTTTTACGCCTGTACCCCTTATATTTCTCTCTTAACGAATCCGAAATGGAGGTGTCAGAATCGGTATAAGAAATTAAGCCCGAATCACATTTCATTTGTTGGCTTGACCTGTTATAAAAAGGCTAATAATAAATAAATGTAAATAAACTAACTGGTATAGATAAACTCCAGAAATTACTTACATATTCGCTTGTTTCTATTGAACATGTTGGGCATATTGGTCAAAAAAATAAATAAATAAATAAAATAAAAGTCAGCTAATGAGTAATTGACTTCATTTTAACACTCAGAGCTTAGTGTAACTATTATGCAAAATTCATTCTTTAAGTATGAAAAGAATATAAGCCCAGAGGCTAAAAAGCCAACGGATAGGCGGATAAAAGCCCGGGTGCGTAAAAAGACCTGGGCATCCAAAAGGACAAACAGATAAAGTCCAGTTATATAAAAAAGCTTAGCGCGCAAAAAACTTCGAGGCTTATGAAAGGACAACGGAAAAATTTTAAATAATAAAAGCCAAGGCTTTGAAGTAAAAGCCTAAGTATGTAAAAAACTTAACGGACTATCGGATAAAAGTCCGGTTGCATAAAAAGCCAAGGCTTCTGAAGGTAAAAATGTACGTAAAAAAAACAGAACGAACAAACGGATAAAGTTCGGTTGCATAGTAAAGCAAGGTTTTGAAAGTAAAAGCCCAGGCGCGTAAATATTTGAGGCTTTCGAACGGTTCTAAACAGACAATATTACTTACGAAAATTATATAAAAGAACGAAAAGAACGCGAAATATTAAACGCGAAAAAATGAGGTTAATTTATTTTATTTGACCAATAAACCGCGTGGAAAATTGCCAGTTTTCACAATAGTAACATCGGTGTGATCTTGAATTTTAACCATAAAATGTCTACAAAAATTAGAAATAAGGTACCCTGTTACTGTAAATCATGCAATGGAAAATTAGTGGAGGAAAGGACGAGAAAGAGACACGCAGAATTAGAAGCTCAATTGGCTGATAATATTTCTGGATTTGTCCCCTCAGCACATATAAATATGTCCTTTCCTAATCCTAAACCTAACGAAACTCCTGACCAATATGTCGCAATGGAAATCGATGAGTCTATTATTATAGAAGGATCATCAGAAAAAGTAGTAAACTCAGAAAAAGATTCGGCTGAACAAGAATTAAGAAATTTACCTGAGGTTGATAATTATGAGCCCGATTTTGAATATACCTCTCAAAAAAGGTGAAGACAAGACAAGTTTCGAGAACCTGAAGCCGATCAGAATAATAAAAATCCAGGCGATGATGATGATGGTGAAAGTGAAAGCGGTATTTCTCTAGATGATGATGTCACGTTTTTGAGTAACGATGAAACCCCAGTTGAACAATTCACTGCCCCCGACTTCGACAATAATTCAGAATTTGTATATCTTAATACAAATATTAATTACGCAGATTCTTGGATACTAATATGGATATATAAGTATCAATCAAGATTTCGCTTGTCGGACGTTGCAATAGATTCCTTGATCAAGTTTTTTCAGCAAATATTAATGGATGCTGATCAGGCGAGATTCAAAAATTTCCCATCTTCTTTATATACTGCGAGTAAATTGTTACAAGTCGGCAACCAATCAAAAACTTACGCAGTATGTCCAAGTTGTAATAGTTTGTATAATATTGCTGAAGTTGTGGCGGAAGAAGGATCCAAATGCACACATGTAGAGTTTCCAATGCAATCAAAAGGAAAACCTTGTGGAATGGAATTAACCGTGCAAGCCCCGCTTGGTAATGGAAATAAAAATCGTCCGAAATTGTTATTTCCCTTGCCGAGTTTGAAGTTACAAATAAACAGTTTATACCAACGATCAGGAATCCAGCAGCAATTAAGAAAATGGACCAATCGGCACGTTGATAATGGTATGCTAACGGATATTTACGATGGTAAAATCTGGAAAAGTTTTTCTGACATTTCGGGCGCCCCATATTTTACACCAGAAACTGCAGATTCTCACTTGGGAATTATGATCAATCTTGACTGGTTTCAGCCCTTTGAATCGTCCGCATACAGTTGTGGGGCGATATATGGAGTGGTTTGTAACCTACCACGTGAAATTAGATTCAAAAAAGAAAATATGTTGACGCTTGGTCTACTACCAGGACCGAACAAGGTTAGGTTACACAAAATTAACCATTACCTCTCCCCGATTGTTGATGAATTATTAGAGTTCTGGAATGGAATTGAAATTCCCGCCGCTGGAAGAAAAATCCGATTAGCATTAATATGCTGTTCAAATGATATTCCTGCAGCGAGGAAGCTCTGTGGTCATATATCTGCATCAGTTAGTTGTCATAGGTGCTATAAAAGAGCAAATTCAATTTCAAATAAATTAAATTTTGGCGGCTTTGATGATATGAGTGAGTGGTTCGTAGAAAGAAATTTACTGAAACATCGGCAGGATGCTGAGAATTGGAGGTTATGTAAATCTGAAGAAGAAAGAAAACGTCATGTAAGTTTGACTTCTGTCAGATGGACTGAATTACTTCGATTGCCGTATTTCAATCCAATAAGGCATCTTATCATAGATCCAATGCATTGTTTATTCCTCGAAATAGCCCATTGGATAATCAAAAAATTATGGATTGATGGTAATAAGATCACCAAACATGACCTAGAATTAATGGAAAAACGAGCAAAAATCATAAAAATACCTGCAGATTTGGGTAGAATTCCAAATAAAATCACAACCGGAGATGGATTTTCTGGATTTACGGCTGATCAATGGAAATCATTTATTCTAATTTATGCTATCCCATTGATGTGGGATTTGCTCGATGAACCAGATCGAAAAATTTTGGGAAATTTTGTTAGGGCTTGTACTCTATTAGTTTGTCGAATTATTGATGATAAGACATTAAGTGAAGCTCATGAACATTTGCTCAAAGTTGCAATGTTAATTGAAGAAAATTATGGTCCGGAAAGGATCACTCCAAATCTCCATTTATGTCTTCATATTGCCGATTGTTGCCAGGATTATGGACCATTATATTCATTTTGGTGTTATTCTTTTGAAAGAATGAATGGAATCCTGGGTAGGTCATTATGATGATTGTTCAATTATTTTAACTTAATATTAATCATTTTTAAATAAAATATCGACAGGCTCTTTTCCTAACAGTCATCGCCAAATTGAACCCGAACTTCTACGTATCATCATGCAGCATTGGAGACTTGATGACCTTATATCCGCTCAATCAAATAACACTAAGCTTGTTGAAGCTTTAAAGCTAATAAAGCCACGGGCAACTTCCAGAAGTTTAGCAGCCTATGATAATTTTGAATTTTCTGAGCTGTGTCAATATAGGAAAATTTTTGTTCAAGAAGTTGATGATACAATTGTCGGTAATGAGCCATTTCCTGGTAAAATGCTCACACCACGTAGAATTCGGGTCGATTTACCTGATAATATTTATCAAATCCTGACCGATTATTATAGTAATGCTTACGACTTACAATTTACAACAATTGCCGATTCGATATCATCCAGTTCAAGGGACTCGATTGTTGTACCAAATATGATTGATCAGTTTGGCCGTGTCCGAATTGCAGCAGAAATCTTCAGATCAGTGATGTCATCCCGATTCTTGAAAAATGCGTGTATTTTGGCAAAGTTTATCCAAGAAAACCGAGGAAATGAAACAACAGACTTATTTCCTGGCCAGGTTCAATATTATTTTGAGCATACTATCACGATATCAGGTGAATCTAAAACTCATCGATTGGCATTCGTCAGATGGTACAGACTGGCACCAAACTGACTTATACGATTTTATACAAATATCGATGAGAATGATAAAAGTTCAAATATTGAACTTTGGCAAAATGATTTTTATGATATAAGCCGAGACTGTATAATTCCAATTCATTACATATATAGCCGATTTGTATCTAGCGAATTTGTAACTGGTAAAAAGAAGCTCGTCGCATATAAAGCTGTAATACCAATAAATAGACAATTTCATTTATAATAAATTTAAAATATAATTAAGTTTATAATAAAATAATATTTATTAAATCGCCAGTATGTTCATTTAGTTCTGAAACTCTTTCGTTTCTCCTTTTTAATAAGTCTATATTTTGTCATGGTGCAAGTTATATAGAACTTTTTTGCCAAGTGCGTAAAAAAGAAAAAAACTTAGGCGAAATCTCTAGTAAGTTTAATTTAAAAGGAAATTTTGTGAAAAATTTTATTAAACCGATCATTGTCCAAAGAAAAAAAGTTAATTATTTATTGTTAAAAATTATTAAATGAAATGTTGTAATGTGTTATAAGAAATATAACATATGATAATAAACTTACTGATAAACGAATAAAATTGGATATAATCATATCGGCGGATTTGTTTCATCACATGTCAGCCGAACATAGTAAATTAATTAGAGAATTGGGTTTTCCCATTTCTATAATAAATTTGTTATAGCAAATGACATGTGATGAAACAAATCCGCCGATATGTATTGAACGGACATTAGTATTGTAAATCAATTTTTTAATTTTAATTTCTCGCAATAAACCTGACCAGAATTTTACTCATAGAGTGAATATAGATAAAGAATTCATACCGATTTGCCGCTACCAATGGTACTATTAATGATGAGGTATATTTGAGGAACTCCGTTAAAATGAGCCTTTCGCGGATCCATTCACGGAAAATGAAAATAATTTGATAAATTCCGTTATTTAATTCCGGAAATATGGGTCTTTTACGGAAAAAAGGTGGAATATAAAAAATGGATCGACCTTTTTACAGGGTTACCTAAAATGAAGAGAAAAAAAGTAGCTTTCACCCATATGCTTGCCGATAGTTGTTGATTGGGCTTAGTCGACACATTCGACGGTGGGATTATTATTTACGGAACTAGTATTACCTAAAAAGAGAGTTGTTTCCAAGAGTTAGTGAAACTGTGTTACCCATATGCTGGTCGATAGTTGTTGAACCGAAAATGTTGAACCGTTGTATTCGAATAGAATGGGAATACAACGCAAAAAGCTAAGTAAGACTTATCCCTTGGATCCACAAGACCTGTATTTCAGCCGAGCGTTAATCCTGTAGGAACTTACCATTATTGGCTTCTTGAACTTCATACAAACTTATAGCCCATCTTCGCTGCCCTCGTAAACCTTTCTTTATACTACTATTAAAACTTCGTTTGCTGCGCTTGTGACGATGACCCATACTAGCTGATGGGAAATAAAGAGCCTTTTCCTGTCTTTATATAATAAAAAGACGCGTAAAATCAACAAAACGTGCAAACAACTAAAAAAAGAACAAATAGAACAAGAATTATTCCAAGAAAAGAATTGTTCTATCAGTGTAATTTTAGGAAATAGATTAATTGGGAATTTTCCGATTTTTTATTAACTCCTTATACTCTGTTGCGCAAGTTTTTTTTGTCAGAAGCTTGCTCACTTCTGAATAAGACACGGTAGGTATGACATTGACTGTCACACGAAAGAATTATTCCAAGAAAAGAATTGTTCTATCAGTACTAATTTTAGAACATATGGGAAATAGATTAATTGGGAATTTTCCGAATTTTCATTAACTCCTTATACTCCGTTGTGAATTTTTTTGACAGAATTTACATGCTCACTTTCTGAATGGATGAATAATTTCGTCAAATATTCTAATCCAGATTTGTAATGAGTATACAGAGAAAGTTTTTAAAAAAAATGACAAAAGTTCTGAATTTAGTGCATATTCTTCAATTTTGATTTGTAGCGGAAAAAAGGTTACCATTTATCAATTTCTTTTTTCGATTTTTCTTTTTATATAAAATGCTTCCACTTTAATAGTAACGTTCCCAAAGATTGTAAGATTAAGTTATCTTCGGTCTTTCTTACAATTATTGCAGTTATTGATCTTTTTTACGAATATCAGTTTTTTTTTTCACAATTCGTTTTTGTTCTACGGTCTACATAACGATCGGTACCTATTGATCCCATGTATGATACTCATGTATTTTTACTCATGTGATTTGTATCACAAAAAATACTATATATATAACTTATATAAAGGACTTCAACTCTCTACCTTAATTTATTTTTTTTTGATTTTTTTTTTCATTTTTTTGGACACCTGAAAGTGAGGCATGTGGTGTTAATTGGTAGAGGTCATGCATCTTCGGACGACCTAAGGGACAAGCCATTGCTGTAGTCTCCGCCATGTACACCTCACCATGGTC